TAATATATTTTAATTTTAAAGTTTTAGTAATTGTTGTTTTTGTAATTTTTTTTAGTGTGTGTAGTTTTTTAGATTTTAGTCTTTAGTTTCATTTAGTTTTAGTTTAAAGTTATTTTAGTACTTCAACGTAAACTAAATAAAGATGAGAAATGTGAGCTCAAATAAGTTTTTTTTTATTTCATTTTATTTCAGTTAATGTTTAGTTTATTTCAAGTTATGAAAAGTGTTACACATGTCTGACAAACAGATGCAATTCTAATTTGCTTACATAAAATAAAATTAACTTGACCTCTTGCACTTGAGACTAAATATTCCTCTGAAGCACATCAGCTTGTGCTCAAGTTGGGGGCTGAGAGACTCTACAGCTAAAATCCTAAAATCAATAAATCAATTAAGAAATCAGTAAACATGCAGAAATGGTTAAGAAATCAAATAGTAAGTGTAAAATTTAAGTGGATTTGTAGATAAAAAATGTAATAATCAAAAAATGTATGAATTCATATATCAGTTGATGACAGGATTTTCATTTTTGAGTAAACTATCCATTTAGTTTACTCAAAAATGAAAATCCTGTCATCATTTATTCCCCCTCATGTTGTTCCAATCCTGTATGATGTTTTTCCTCTGCATTGAATTTCATTGCATGGACAAAAACACATTTTTTTTTTTATATTTGCTTTATTGAATCTTGCTCATTTATTTTTTTCATTTTCTGAAAGAAAATTTGAATGCTGCTTTCTTTGTTGGACCTCACTGTGCGTGGTTGCTAAACAATACTATGCGGTTGCTAAGATGTTCCGAGTGGTTTTTGGAGCATTGCTATGCTGTTCTGGGCAGTTGCTAGGGAATTGCTAGAAAGTGGTTTCATGTCTAATGTATATCAGTCAATGAAGCACAGTATTATGTCGACTTCTATACTTCCGTTTGTAGCCTATAAAGGAAACATTATTCATCCCTCATCTCATTAGTATCCTGTGTGTTTGTGTTGTGTTTGAAATTGCACACATTTGATCTCCTTTGAATCCAAATCTTCATATCTAAATACTTCAGTGAATGTCTTTGAAAGCTTCCTGCAGATGGTAGGCAATTCAAACAACTTTTATTGTAAAAAGTACTATACTGTACGCTATACTATGTGCACCTAGCTTGTTCGTGTACTCTTTTATTCTTTCTTGTCTCTTTCGTAAAGAAAAAAAAATCAGCGATCGGTATCAGAATCAGCCCACTTGCTGGTAATTAAAATCAGCCATGAAAAATCATGATTGGTGCATCTCTAGTTTTTGTATCTAGCCTACTGGTTAGTTTCCTCAGTCTTAACTTTGACTTGACTATTTCGAGCCCTTGCCCCTTTAATCGCAGGCGCTAAAAGTGCCCTTTCGGTCCGACCTAGGTGCCCCCTGACCGCGATTTCTACTGAATCATGCCACAGACATGACAGGACTATTGATCTGCTGAGCTACTGTAGTTATATTCATTAACAAACGTTTTTATTTGCGTGAAGATAACTTGGGGAGCAGGACGACTTTGCATTTCTAATGCTTTGACGTGTCCACTCTTGTCTTTGGGTGTGTATAAAAATGATAAGCATGTTGAATAACCAGATGTGTTTGTGCTGTCAGGTTTCCACTGGTTTCCTGCAGATCATCCACTTCTGAGCTGCTCAAACAGGTTTTGCACCATCCTGATGAGAAACTACTGCAGGAGTTCTTCCAGACAGCACTCAGCGCCATCAGGAGCATGATGTGCTTATAGTATAGTATGTGAGTATAGTTTAAATCGTATTCCTCCCTGTAATCATTGGTGGACTCGTTCATAGGGTGCTGTAGGGTGATAAGGTTCGACACAGTGCACTGATCCACACACAGCTGTCACAGACACACACTTAACTTCTCTAATAAACACCAATCAGTGGAATCACAAAATACTGTCAAGTGCAAATGAATATGCCAGTGTTACACATGTCTGACAAACAGATGCAATTCTAATTTGCTTACATAAAATAAAATTAACTTGACCTCTTGCACTTGAGACTAAATATTCCTCTGAAGCACATCAGCTTGTGCTCAAGTTGGGGGCTGAGAGACTCTACAGCTAAAATCCTAAAATCAATAAATCAATTAAGAAATCAGTAAACATGCAGAAATGGTTAAGAAATCAAATAGTAAGTGTAAAATTTAAGTGGATTTGTAGATAAAAAATGTAATAATTAAAAAATGTATGAATTCATATATCAGTTGATGACAGGATTTTCATTTTTCAGTAAACTATCCATTTAGTTTACTCAAAAATGAAAATCCTGTCATCATTTATTCCCCCTCATGTTGTTCCAATCCTGTATGATGTTTTTCCTCTGCATTGAATTTCATTGCATGGACAAAAACACATTTATTTTTTTATATTTGCTTTATTGAATCTTGCTCATTTATTTTTTTCATTTTCTGAAAGAAATTTTGAATGCTGCTTTCTTTGTTGGACCTCACTGTACGTGGTTGCTAAACAATACTATGCGGTTGCTAAGATGTTCCGAGTGGTTTTTGGAGCATTGCTATGCTGTTCTGGGCAGTTGCTAGGGAATTGCTAGAAAGTGGTTTCATGTCTAATATATATCAGACAGTCAATGAACGGACAGCGGGCGCTGTCACGCATTGTCTGTTATTTTTCAAGAAATCAAAAGAAACAAATTATGTTTTGCATTATTCTTTTGGTAGATGTTTCATATTTCAGATTTTTTGTGACAATTAAGCACCCCATACCCAACCCTATACAAGTTGAAAGAGATCTTCCTGTCCCGGTTGACCCAACTGAACATCTGCCATATGACAGACTAGCCAACCTTAAGAAGGTAATGCTGTATGTTAAAACATATTTAAATTCAAAAGGGGTCACATCATTGTTTTAATATTTAACTGTTTTTGGTGGCTGCTGTAAAACTCTACTATCCTTCAGTAAAAGCTGCTTTGCAAAGCTGCAAGTGCAGCTCCTATCTGTTTGAATGGGGAAACCTTTCTTGTCTCTTTCGTAAAGAAAAAAAAATCAGCGATCGGTATCAGAATCAGCCCACTTGCTGGTAATTAAAAGCAGCCATGAAAAATCATGATTGGTGCATCTCTAGTTTTTGTATCTAGCCTACTGGTTAGTTTCCTCAAACCGTCTTAACTTTGACTGACTATTTCGAGCCCTTGCCCTTTTAATCGCAGGCGCTAAAAGTGCCCTTTCGGTCCGACCTAGGTGCCCCCTGACCGCGATTTCTACTGAATCATGCCACAGACATGACAGGACTATTGATCTGTGTTGGACCTCACTGTACGTGGTTGCTAAACAATACTATGCGGTTGCTAAGATGTTCCGAGTGGTTTTTGGAGCATTGCTATGCTGTTCTGGGCAGTTGCTAGGGAATTGCTAGAAAGTGGTTTCATGTCTAATATATATCAGACAGTCAATGAACGGACAGCGGGCGCTGTCACGCATTGTCTGTTATTTTTCAAGAAATCAAAAGAAACAAATTATGTTTTGCATTATTCTTTTGGTAGATGTTTCATATTTCAGATTTTTTGTGACAATTAAGCACCCCATACCCAACCCTATACAAGTTGAAAGAGATCTTCCTGTCCCGGTTGACCCAACTGAACATCTGCCATATGACAGACTAGCCAACCTTAAGAAGGTAATGCTGTATGTTAAAACATATTTAAATTCAAAAGGGGTCACATCATTGTTTTAATATTTAACTGTTTTTGGTGGCTGCTGTAAAACTCTACTATCCTTCAGTAAAAGCTGCTTTGCAAAGCTGCAAGTGCAGCTCCTATCTGTTTGAATGGGGAAACGCTCTGGTTACTAACGTAACCTCGGTTCCCTGAGATAAGGGAACGAGCGTTGCGTCGTCTTGACGACTATGGGAAAAACTCCTGATTTACTCTGATACTGAAGCCTGATTTGTTCATGTTTATGTAGCTGTACAAACCAATGGCACTCTAGACCGCCAAAATGGGCGGGGCCGACTGGCTATATAAGCAGGCGCAGAGCGCCATTTTACCAGAATCACTCGACTGAAATGACAGTCATCGATTCGCGTGCAGCTTAAAGCACGGATAGTTATGCAAAGGTCATTCCCTTATCTCAAGGAACCGAGTTTACGTAAGTAACCAGAGCATTCCCTATTGAAAGGTAACTTTTGTTGCATCGTCTTGACGACTATGGGGAACGCATCCAGTAGCGCCATGAGCAGATGCAGAACTAAGCTTGCTCTACGAGCTCAACCCAAGAACACTTAGCTCCGTAAGCCTGAGCTACAGAAGAGAAGGGGGGAAATGGGTAGATATTAAGCAGATAAGACCCACGCCGGCAGCGCAGGGACGTCCAAATTATCAAATCTAATGAAGGTAGACAGCGACGACCAGCCGGCAGCTGCACAAATCTCTCCAATAGAGATCCCACTGGACCAGACCCAGGAGGAGGCTATTCTTGTGGTGGAATGGGCCCTCACACCTATAGGACATTGCGAGCCAGCTGAGGAATAAGCCAGGGCTATAGCATCTACTATCCAGTGGGATAGTCTCTGCTTTGTAACCAAATGAATGAACCCACTACCACCCGTACCATACATGACTTTACATTTATCAAAAATAAGAGAAACTGAGTGTAACTTCGGTTTCTAAAAATGCTCTCGAAGATTATATGAAAAGTGAAAACCCATTATGACATTTAAAAAATATTTTAGAATTGAAGCTATTGCAGACATGTCACCCAAAAAAATGTCAGCATAGATGTGTGGACTTCTTCAGAATCTTCCATCTCTCAGTCGGTCTGATCCTGCTCTGCAGTCCCAGACTAATTGCTTTTATTGCTGTAGGCTTCTAAGTTATTGACTACCTCATGTAAACCTTTTATCTTAGCCTGTCCTCTGATCATATCAAGGATGGGCTGCATGGAATAGGTGTATTCCACAATGCTTCTAGTTCTACCTTTTTCTCTGTACACATATCCACCTATTAATGCTGTACATTTATTGTAATGTTTTATGTAACAGTAAGCAGCAAGCTGTTTCTTGACTGGCACCAGCTTCACCTTTGAGTGATAAAATATTCACCTTCAGTGAACTACAGCTGCTTATATGGTGCTTGCTGTTTGGCTTCATCTGGAAGTAAAGAAGCAACTGGAGGTGAGGTCAAAACACAAAACACTTTATAGAAAGACAGAAGCTGCAGTCCCTCACTGGACAATGGAAGAGCTGAAAAAGCCACATGCAAACCAGTTAATACCTTTGTAAAATATAAACATTTCTGTCTTTAATCTTTGCATATACAAATACAAGATATCTTATTTTGGGCTCCCCTCTTTCACCAAGATGTCAAAAAACAACTTGGCAAACAAGTGGTGGTTTATAGGACATGAAATAGTAAGTAAAGGAGCAGCTTAGAACTGAGTTTCTTTTATTTATTTTGTTGATCTATTATAGAGGAGCACTTATAGATGAGCAGAAGGATGTGTACGTTTTTTGCATATTCCATAAATCTGAAGAAAAATCAATAATCTGTTCATAATATTAAATATGTTGTGTTTATAATCAGAAAGTTCTTTGTTCTATTAGAGTCAAGAATGAGGCCAAACTATTTTAAGCATGATTATTTAATATAGCAAAAATGAGGCACAAAATATAAAGTTACAAAAAAATGTTCAACGTAATTTTTAAGAAGATATACAGTGTATACATGCACCTGTAGGTCTCATTCTGAAGCAGCAGAGAGTACAAATATCTGCAGCATTGAACAGTGCTGGAGCAATCAAAAAATATTGAAGAACAATGTTTATTATTAACCCTTTAATGGATAGTTCACCCAAAAGTTCTGTCATGATTTACTCCTATATTTTTTTTCTTAATATATTTTGTGTTCCGCAGAAGAAAGTCAGTCGTGCAGGTATGAAATTATATGAGTCTGAATAATTTATAACAAAATTTTCATTTTGGTCGATCTATCACTTTGGAGGATTTCTAGAATTTAAGCAAAATATCATTTATCCTTTTATACAAACACAATAATGCTGTCTGATCTAACAAAGATGTAGTTTGTTTTCTGGTTGCTACATAATGAAACAGAATGTACGTTACACAAAGAACAGATTAACAATGAAAATAAGAACTCATAACCAATGATAAGGATGAATAGTTGGACACATTTGCCTAAAGGCATCCAATGATCATACAGAATTGATACATCATTGAATGAAATTGTATGTTGAACATGCCTGAATACGTCAAGATAAATGAAGTTTTATATTTCAAAAAAATTGATGGATTCGGCATCAATCAGGACTCAAGATTGTACTGTCCCATTACTCATATAAAAGCTTCCTGATTTTGTGGATCTTCTTTCATGTCCACATCATTGTCTTCCAAGTTAAGATTTGAAGATTTATATTCAGAGAGTAATTTCATGATGTCAGATCTCTCACTTTTCTTGGCCTGTGTGATGATGCTTTCCAGGATGGGCTGCATGGAATAGGCGTATTCCATAAGGCTCCTAGTTTTACAGTTTTCTCCTTTGTACGCGTAGCCACCGGTGTGCACGCCAATCAGATAGCCGTCTTCGTCAAAAACTGGAGAGCCAGAAGATCCGTGAAAAAAACAAGAGTTATAAATGACCTGGTTGTCATGCATTTCCCATTTCTCTGCCAGAGACTGCTGTGTCATCACGTGAATGAAATTGACATTCTCAGAGATGTGTTTATCTGCAGCCTCGTGTAGATTCTCTTTCCCAATGATGAAACAGGGGTCCATTTTCTTGACCCCTTCACCTGGATGTCCCACAACGCAGATCCCACCACGGTTAGGAGGGGGGCCATGAATGTATCGACGGAGCAATCCAGGACAGTCAGCGATTTTCATCAGCGTCTTTCAGTTCAAGAAGAGCAAAGTCAAGATATGGGCCTGTGTTGGTCTTTCCATGATGGTACGCTGCAAGATGTTCCTTGACCGGCACACACTTGGTCTCCTTTGCTTCCAGATCTTCATAGCCAAATACTGCTGTGAAGGTCTTTGAAAGTTTCCTGGTGAAAGGGTCAAATTCTCCAATAACATGAGCATTACCCAGCCAACATGTATATGTGGGCCCCACATGGTTTATGCTGGGTCTACATGGGTACCAAGTGGGCATGGTCCCAAAATGGGCATCTTACCTGGGGCCCACTTGGGTCAGCTAAGTAGGTCCCACATTGGCAAAAACAGATGGGCTCCCTATGTGGGTCCTAGTTGGGTATGACAAATGGGAAATGAGTGCATGGGCTCTAAATGGGCAACACAAATGGGGCCCATATGGGTTTAACAAATGGGTTAGACATGGAGGAGAATTAGTTGAAGGATTTGTGGATTTCATTGTGTTTCTCTTCTGTGTTTCTTCTTGTTCAGTGTTGATGGGATGTTCATTATTATCAACATTTTCTTTCAAATCAGCAGCTGAAGCTTCATTGATTTCAGTGCTGTCATCACTCAAGACACCATCTTGAAAATCTTGGCTATCTGGCTGGTTGTTGTCACTGATTACAATGATCTCAAAATGATTTCCATCCAGATGCTCTACGGTCTTTGACATTTCATATTTTGTCTCGCTCTCCAAGTTATAGAGTGCACACTGTTTCTTGAATATGGCATTGATGAATCGTCCGTCACGCCGAAGAGCAGCATTCAGTTTGTCTTCTTTGAACGCGTACACACAAACATCTTCAACCTTCTTCTTTAGCTCATTGTTTTTCATTAAGCGTGTCACTTTCTTCCCTCCTTTTGTTTTAATGTAAAATATCACTAAGCTTTTTGATTCATTGGAGAATGAAAGCCTTCCAGTTGTTTTTTTCTTTGTAGCAACATTTCCGCGATTTTTAATGAAGGATATGTCTAAGAGCTCATGTCTTTCAATAAGACAGCAGGGGAAGTCGGTCTTGACAGCCGCTCTAGGAACTGCTCCTTTGCATCTCAGGATCACTATTTCTTTCTCCTTGTTGTCTTTTTGAATCTTTCTGAAAATCTTGTTTGTATTAAGAGCATCGAGCACAGTCTTGGATGTATCACACGCCACTGCATGTTTCTCATATTTGTAGCGGAAATTAAAAGTGTGGCTTTCCCCTTCAGCACTCTGTTGAATTCAGAAGAACAGTAATACACAAAAGCATTTATTTAAACACCTGAATAAAGGACTTCAGTAAAATGATTATCAAGTAATATTATACAAATAATAACAATAATTTTCCAGACGTAATTTGTTTCCACAAGCTCTCGATTCAGTTATTTTAATTCATTTTATTTTATTCATGAAGTGGAGCAGACTGCAGGACAAGAGGTGCACTACTGGTCATTTTCAGTGAAACTGTTTTAGATTAAAAGATCAGTCTTGAGATTTTTAGAAACTTATAATCATTAATTATTGGTAAATCTTTATTTTTCATATTCAATAACCCAGCCTAAAATATGATAATAATAATAATATATAATGCATTGCAGCTGTTAAGTATCAAGCAGTGTTATTTTAGTATCAATGATATGCTATTATAGTTTTTGTTAATATTTTGAAATAGATTTAATTTGTGTAGTATTTTTAATATATTTTAATTTTAAAGTTTTAGTAATTGTTGTTTTTGTAATGTCTATATAGTTTTTTAGGTTTAGTCTTTAGTTTCATTTAGTTTAAAGTTATTTTAGTACTTCAACGTAAACTAAATGAAAATGAGAAATGTGATATTTCATTTTATTTCAGTTAATGTTTAGTTTATTTCAAGTTATGAAAATAGTGTTTTTTTATGGATTTAGATAACAGTAATAACCCTGGTTACCAAAACACCTTATGAGGTACATTTATTCACTTACATGAGATGAGTCTCACCTTGCATTTATTTATTTATTAAAACATTATTAAAAGTCTCATACCTGCTGCAGATGACTTTTTGATTGTCCTTCTTCCACTTTCTCCTTACAGAAACGGTTTGTTCTTTCCTGAGTGAATGAATATGAAATGTTGTCAGATTGCTAATATGAGATCACCAGTGTAAATGGTTTGACCATCATATTGTAAATCATAATGAATGATGAGCAAAAAGAGCGATATGGAATTTTTCAATAGCAGCTAATGTCTTCCTAAAACATTTTTTGTAGAGAAATTCCACACACACACTTTTTCATGAGCACCCATAAACAATTTATTCAATGATATGTTAGTATGCAACAAACCTTTAGTGGATCACGGCCATTAGTTCCAAGCCCCTTTCCATTTTTCTTGCTTGTATGATTTTTTTCCTAGAACAATGGCAGTAGCAACAATAAAATACTAGCCTATGTATTATTATTATCAATTAATTAAATACACTTGAATCTAATACGATTGAGGACATTTACCAAATTAGCACTGGATTTTATAATACTGCCACACATAATTGAACAAAAGTACACTCAAAGATTCTCAGTTTCTGTAACATGCACCATTTCACTCGAGATTGTTCTGATGCCCAAATGAAAATAAAAACAGGAATATCAGAGTGAGAAAAAGGTAGGTCATACTTACTATATTGCAAGTCTTCTAAAGCCATACATTAGCTTTGTGTGAGGAACTGACTGAAATGTGTTACTTACTGAAACTATTTGAATATACATGCAAAACCAAATGCGGAGGAAAAACATTTTTTTATCATTTTAAATTAATATTGGAATAATTACTTATATTTCGGTCTGATTCTCACACAGGCTTCAGAAGTTCTAATAAACCTTTTTGTGTTCCATGGGTGAGTATTTTTATTTTTAAAAAATATATACTGGTTGACTTGCGCTTGCTCATTTACGTGACCTGCATGTCTTCATTGGCTGTTTTTCAGATACATGAGCAATTACCTAAAATAACTTTTTAGACCTGAATTTATTATTTAAATATCATGACATAACCCAGCCTAAAATATGATAATAATAATAATATATAATGCATTGCAGCTGTTAAGTATCAAGCAGTGTTATTTTAGTATCAATGATATGCTATTATAGTTTTTGTTAATATTTTGAAATAGATTTAATTTGTGTAGTATTTTTAATATATTTTAATTTTAAAGTTTTAGTAATTGTTGTTTTTGTAATGTCTATATAGTTTTTTAGGTTTTAGTTTCATTTAGTTTTAGTTTAAAGTTATTTTAGTACTTCCACGTAAACTAAATAAAGATGAGAAATGTGAACTAAAATACGTTTTTTTATATTTCATTTTATTTCAGTTAATGTTTAGTTTATTTCAAGTTATGAAAATAGTGTTTTTTTATGGATTTAGATAACAGTAATAACCCTGGTTACCAAAACACCTTATGAGGTACATTTATTCACTTACATGAGATGAGTCTCACCTTGCATTTATTTATTTATTAAAACATTATTAAAAGTCTCATGCCTGCTGCAGATGACTTTTTGATTGTCCTTCTTCCACTTTCTCCTTACAGAAACGGTTTGTTCTTTCCTGAGTGAATGAATATGAAATGTTGTCAGATTGCTAATATGAGATCACCAGTGAAAATGGTTTGACCATCATATTGTAAATCATAATGAATGATGAGCAAAAAGTGTGATATGGAATTTTTCAAAAGCAGCTAATGTCTTCCTAAAACATTTTTTGTAGAGAAATTCCACACACTTTTTCATGAGCACCCATAAACAATTTATTCAATGATATGTCAGTATGCAACAAACCTTTAGTGGATCACGGCCATTAGTTCCAAGCCCCTTTCCTTTTTTCTTGTATGATTTTTTTCCTAGAACAATGGCAGTAGCAACAATAAAATACTAGCCTATGTATTATTATTATCAATTAAATACACTTGAATCTAATACAATTGAGGACATTTACCAAATTAGCACTGAATTTTATAATACTGCCACACATAATTGAACAAAAGTACACTCAAAGATTCTCAGTTTCTGTAACATGCACCATTTCACTTAAGATGTGTTCTGATGCCCAAATGAAAATAAAATCAGGAATATCAAAGTGAGAAAAAGGTAGGTCATACTTACTATATTGCAAGTCTTCTAAAGCAATACATTAGCTTTGTGTGAGGAACTGACTGAAATGTGTTACTTACTGAAACTCTTTGAATATACATGCAAAACCAAATGCAGAGGGAAAACATTTTCTTATCATTTGAAATTAATATTGGAATAATTACTTATATTTTGGTCTGATTCTCACGCAGGCTTCAGAAGTTCTAATAAACCTTTTTGTGTTCCATGTGTGAGTATTTTTTAAATAAGTGAAAAATACTGGTTCACTTGCGCTTGCTCATTTACATGACCTGCATGTCTTCATTGGCTGTTTTTCAGATACATACATGAGCAATTACCTTAAAGGGGTCATATGATGCGATTTCAATTTTATTACGATATCTGCTTCGTCATGCCTGGAGCTGATCCGTGCTGGTTGCTGAGGAAATACATCAACTTTGCGCTGTGGATCGCCGGATCAGCTTTCAACGTGGATGAAGCGGAGTCCAGCCCGGGGTCGTCACATGTCCTTCCGGACGCTCCTTTGTTGAAATCACCGGCCGAGCCATTCTCAAGCCCACCCGCCTCTGCTCACTCTAACCCTCCGGCCGTTCCTCGCGCTGGCCCCCGACCTCTGCTCACTGTAGGCCACCGCTCACTCCAGCGTGTGTGACGCTGTTTCGTTGTGAAAGCGTTGTGAAAGCGAATTTTTTTTTTTGTCACTCATTTCAGAAAGTGAAACCCATATATTATATAGATTCATTAAGCCATAATCATCAACATATATGTTTATTACAGTGATTTTGAATTACCTAGTGTGGTAAAGCAACAGATTTGTTTTTATATTTCTGCAATCTACTTTAGTTTGTGTGATTTGTTACTGAATTTCATATTAATGTTTACACCAGGCTTATTTGTCAGTGCTTTATGTTGTCATAATTATTACATGTTTACAAGGTTGGAAGTTCAACAAATCAGTCAATATACTGTGTTTGTAGTTGTTAAAAATGTCATTCATATCAATTCATGCATCACCTAATTTCATCCTAACATATAGGCCTGGCTTACAGAAAAGAACATTTATGTTTAATCTATATAACATTGTGTTGGTCATACTATACAATGATTTATAGCTTGTCTTTGTTGAATAATACAGAACATAACGAGCTTTAAAAATAATCGCACATTAAATCGCAATATTGGTAAAAAAAATCGAATTAAGATTATTTTCCAAAATCGTTCAGCCCTACTACACACTGCTGCAGTTAGGTTTAAAAGAATTGTTGCAAAACATATAACATACCAAATATATTAATTACTGCAATAATGATCCGATCCTAGACTTTTCAGTATTTGCTTATTTAAATCCAAATGGCAACGTTTTTATGGTCAGGCAGTGTAGATTCTACATTATTGACATCTCAAGACAGAGATAGGCTGTTTATATCAATTTTGTGATTTCATATAAAAAATAAAAAAAACATTAAGGGAAAAAATTTAAAATGTCAGTTTAATCATTATTTTCTTTCCCTCTAATGCTAACAACCCTGCTCCTTAACCAGCTAACCAGGTGTTTAGGATTACCTGACAATTACAGGCAGGTGTCTTAAAGCTGAACTCTGATGGTGGCTCTCCAGGAGCAGAGTAGGCTACCACTGGATTAATGCTTTACATTTTTGAATATTTAAGGTAATTATCATAATTTTTTCTTGTATTGATTTGAGTGCAAATATATTTTCCACTTACAAGTTCAGAGTAGTGAATGTGATGCAAAGTCCGATTCATTTCCGCGAACCGGTTCTTTTCGGACAGATCGGCTCATTGAACCGGTTCTTTTCGGACAGATCGGCTCATTTAACCGGTTCTTTTCGGACAGATCGGCTCATTGAACCGGTTCTTTTCGGACAGATCGGCTCATTTAACCGGGTCTTTTCGGACAGATCGGCTCATTGAACCGGTTCTTTTCGGACAGATCGGCTCATTGAACCGGTTCTTTTCGGACAGATCGGCTCATTGAACCGGTTCAAAAAGCCGATTCATCGGTTCTTGACGTCATCAAGCAATAATGTCCTTACGCATTTCTTTTTTAACTACTAAATGCCATGTTCTATCAATGAAAAATTCAAATAAATAATTTGTCAACACATATTGAAACATTCAAAAAACAAAGTTATTTGTGTGAAAGCATATTGCTGATTACTGCCATATAATTCACTTAAGTTATGGTGTTTGTGGTCACAGTTTCATTCGCGGATCCTCAGATACGACTGACTGACCAATATTGACTAGCCTACAACTTGGATAAGATTGCTAAAAGTTTCACACTTACAGCACACATTACAGACATTGATGCACAAACGCTGATATCTTCTACATGTCTACCGTATAAAGAATGAATAAACCAGTCTTATAAACTCCTTGATTTCGCTTAAGCAACTTTAAATATAATATGCATGCACAATAAACTATTGTAAAATGTATTTAACATCACTCGACAGAAAGGTTTTTGCAGGTTTTAATAAAATGTAAATTATTAACAGTCATAAGCATATTTCCCGTACGCGCCTCAGGCTTGCACAGTATGGTCAACTCACTCATCAGAATCTTCGGTAATCCTCGGCAAACTTCGACACGACTCATTCGGTTCTTGTTGAGTCCTCGGTAATCCTCGGCAAATTTCGACAGTTGGTTGAACCGGCTCATTCTGTTCTTTTTGAGTTGGACGTGCTACTTCGGCTGTGCGTCCTGCGTCATCAACCCGGAACTAAAGTTCGATTTGTGAACCGGCTCGACCGGTTACTTCCTGAGAACCGACTCAAAAGAACGATTCGTAGTTCAGAGCAGATGCAAATGAAGGGAGTCATATTCACAGCTCTTAGCTGGTCTCAGATCTTACAATGGATGTTAAATTCATGTTATATTGTTTTTTTTTTATATATATAAAATATTTTTTGAAAGCAGGCAAAATTATTTGTAGTTCTGAAATAACACTGAGCAAATCTTATATCTCAAAAATATTTTTATTTGAGGTGGAGGAAATAAACGAACACAAATGAAAGAATATAATAAAAAACAGCTGCTATAAATATTTGTTTGTCATCCAAAAAAAAAACCACAAATCATCCTTTAAAATGTCAGTAGAACTGAGCAATTATTTAATATTAATTCAGAGACATTTATAATAAATAGAACACAATCATATGGTTCCAAAGCAGGGATGATCTAAACAAATGAAATCTTTCTGTTTGCGTGAAATGACATTAATTTTAAACACAACAGTGCCTTTG